ATGAAGGTAAAACAAATACGGTGGGGCAATGAGATCTACATGCAAAAGTTCATCTGATCTTTAACTATAGGTATATGCAGTTACAGTGAATTTGTTTGGAAGTCAAAATACTACTTTGTTTACATTTTTCTACTTTTATTAGCTCAACTATGCAATATGGTTGGAATAATATATCAAATTATTTGAGAGGACCACCTTATACATTTTAAAATACTGCTTAAACTGACTTTAGAATAACTTAAAATGTCACATTATGAAGGGTTATTCTCTTCCAAAAGTAATGAACATTGACTTTATAACATGAAATAACAATTATATCATTCAGGTTTTTAAAATTTTGTCAATAGGCAAACATTTTTTCACTTAGACTTTTTTCGCATTCAGTTACTAGAGTATACACAGTTTCAGCACTGAATACGAAAAAAGTCTAAGTGAAAAAAATACATGAAAATATGCAAAAATGATATCATCCTATTAACAGTACTACTTTTATCAACAGTAATCATTATAAAACATACTTTAAAACTGAAAATGAAATACTGCTTATAATTTTTGTCACTTAGACCATCACATTTTTTTATAAAATAATTGCGAAAAAAGTCTAAGTGACTATGTTCACTTAGACCTTTTTCGCATGACTGTTTTTTCATATTTCACTTAGTCTTTTTTCGTATTTTTTAAATATATATAAAAATTAATGTGTTGTGTTCAAGATTTTTTCACAGAAGATGTATATACAGATTTCAAACACATTTATATAAAAAAGTGATTTTCTGAAAAAATGTCACTTAGACCTCTTTCGCTTTCACCCCTCGAGGTGTTCTATTTAAAGGGGAATTAAAAAAACATAAATATTTTTCTTAAAGGTGTTTTTATGCTATTATAGAACTTGAGGTGTTAATTAAAGACATAGTTGAGAAGAATAATAAATGTTTATGATGAAGATTATTTCTATAGAATTTCATAAATTTAAAAATTTAAAGGCACATAACGCAACCATTTTTTCAACTTTTGTAAAAATACAGTTGAACTATTTAAATTTAAAAAAAAATAAAAAAGAAGAAAATCAGTAATTATGTAATGTAAAAGTATTTATGATAGAAAAAAAGACTTGATTTATTAATTGCTATGAATTTGTGTACGTAGTCCAATAAAGGGCAATAAAAAAGAAACATTTTAGTTATAACTTTATTCTATTCATTATACAGTATTTGAACTAAAACCTCAGATAAATATGATTGGACATAAACTTGGCTTTTGATATTTAACAGAAATAAGTATTTTTTAGCTCGACTATTCGATAAGAATAAGTAGAGCTATTGCAATCACCCGAGCGTCGGCGTCGGCGTAACCACTTATGTTAAAGTTTTTGTAATAGTTCAAATATTTTCAAAGTCCATTGACATATGGCTTTGAAACTTTGCACACTTGTTCACCATCATGACCCCAACCTGTAGACAGGAGGAGGTAACTCTATCAAGCATTTTGACAGAATTATGCCCCTTTTTCGACTTAGAATTTACGTTTAAGTTTTTGTAATAGTTCAAATATTTTCAAAGTCCATTGACATATGGCTTTGAAACTTTGCACACTTGTTCACCATCATGACCCCAACCTGTAGACAGGAGGAGGTAACTCTATCAAGCATTTTGACAGAATTATGCCCCTTTTTAGACTTAGAATTTACGTTAAAGTTTTTGTAATAGTTCAAATATTTTCAAAGTCCATTGACATATGGCTTTGAAACTTTGCACACTTGTTCACCATCATGACCCCAACCTGAAGACAGGAGGAGGTAACTCTATCAAGCATTTTGACAGAATTATGCCCCTTTTTCGACTTAGAATTTACATTAAAGTTTTTGTAATAGTTCAAATATTTTCAAAGTCCATTGACATATGGCTTTGAAACTTTGCACACTTGTTCAACATCATGACCCCAACCTGTAAACAGGAGGAGGTAACTCTATCAAGCATTTTGACAGAATTATGCCCCTTTTTCGACTTAGAATTTACGTTAAAGTTTTTGTAATAGTTCAAATATTTTCAAAGTCCATTGACATATCGGTTTTGAAACTTTGCACACTTGTTCACCATCATGACCCCAACCTGTAGACAGGAGGAGGTAACTCTATCAAGCATTTTGACAGAATTATGCCCCTTTTTCGACTTAGAATTTACGTTAAAGTTTTTGTAATAGTTCAAATATTTTCAAAGTCCATTGACATATGGCTTTGAAACTTTGCACACTTGTTCACCATCATGACCCCAACCTGTAAACAGGAGGAGGTAACTCTATCAAGCATTTTTTTTACTATTAAGCACTAAGAATAGTCGAGCGTTGCTGTCCTACCGACAGCTCTTGTTACAAAAATAAGTACTGAGATAACAAATAGCTAAATACATAAATCAGCTATGGTTGATTAGGTTGTCAGTCTTTCTTAATTGATGTTGATAACAATCAAATATATATAGTTCAATGAAATATTGTAAAATTCATTCAAGTTGAAATGTTATGATGTATTAACAGATAGAGTTCATTGTCTCACGTTATCTCTTATTAACTCGGTGAAGTTAAAGGCCCAGTATAACTTCAAAATATGTTGTTATAAGTTAATTTTGAAGTCCTATCTCTTATAAGAAAAACATCTTCAAGGGTATTATTTTAGTATTAAAGCACAGAAAATAACCAAGTTTACTGTCTGACTGGAAGCTCTTGTTACTGTACAGAATGAGTTATAGAATATATTCATTCAAAACAAAAAGACAATGTCGATGGGGCCTTTGAAGTTAAAGACATGACTAACTAGTGGTGGGTCTTTAAGAATTATTTTTATCATTACCCATCTGTGTAGATGTTTGACCCCATGATTGAGTATAACCTTGTGAAATGTTAAACATGGTCACTAATATAGTAAAAATTCAACAACTTAACAAAATAATAGGGTTTTTTTTTGTGCTGTTTTAATTTGAGTATTTGGCAAAATGGCTTTGTCTATGAACAGAAATAAATGTAAATATTGTTTATGCTATTAAAATTAATTAAAAAAACAATTAAGTTGAAAATTTGTTATGATTTTTCTTTGACATGGACTTAACTTGTATTGTTAAGGGGAAATGATTTTTTTAAATGTAAGGAGTACTTGTATTGTTTACTTTTAAATGTAAGGAGTAAAAAATGTGATGAACTGAGTAAATTCCAAATCCTAAAACTTAGTATAATATTTTTGATGGAAAAAAAAAAGATGATTAAAATTCAACAATTTGTAGAAAAATGTTTGTTTACTAATTTAAGGATATTTAAGTCTAGATAAAGTTGAAGATTTCGTTAAGTTTCAAACTCCTGCTGTTATTCTTAATATATTTGTGAACTTGGATTATCTCATAATTAGCCGGAAAATTTCAAGGTTGTTTACGTAACTTTATCTTCGCCATTCACACAAATTTTCTAAATAAGGTCAATCCTAGTGATAATGCTTGCCTTATCTTTATTTTGTTTTGCTGCAGTTTGTCCGAGTGTGAATTTTGTCAGTTTCTGTTTATATAATAGAATGACCGATTTACGCACACATTAAAAGTAGACCTGTGCCATAAATAATGAAAACAGCTATATACTAGATTAACTTATTACCAAATTAAGTTATAACTATATAATAAGATATAAAGCACTTAGTTGTAGACAGTTAGATAAAGTGATTGCATAAAAAGTTGCAGGATTATAAAAGTTTAATAAATAAATGAACATGGACATTTTACTTAAAGGTATTATCATTTTTCTCTCCCTTATATCTGTTTTTACTCTGTATTGAAATACTGAAAATTTTTGCTTCAAAGGACAGGAACATTATTGACTAAAGATAAAATGTTCTGCATATATACTGCTATAGAGAATGTCCATTCAAGATTACTATCTAATTTATTTTAATGATTTTAATTTTGAAAATTTTACTCGTCCATGTACATATGACTTGTTCATGGTAAAGCAAAATTTTGTGCTTTAAAATCGTCTATAATCTGTTTGAAATATATATATATATATATATATATATAAAAAAAGAATTCAATATATGGATGGTATTGACTCCTTTTTATTCTTTGCTGACAAGTAAGATATTTAAAGATAAATTTTTTCTATTTATATGACTGGGATATTTGTAAGATTTTAATGGGATGATCGTGTATTACAGAGCGTAAAGATAATTATTGTCATGTGACTAATTCATGCATTCTGATTGGCTAATGAAGCTTGTAAACATTAAATCTTATCATACAAACTTTATTCTTAAAACTTGTTAGATATGAAGATGACTGGCAAAAAAAAAAAATTGTCCATGAGAATTATAAAGGTGTTATTGATAAAGGTGATATTCTTTCCAACAAAATACTATAACTTCAGTCCTAATACTAATGTATATCTATGACTTTAATACATACTTGTGTATGAGTACTGGTTAGGAAAAAGAACATTGAAATGTTGTATTTTTATGCTTGTCATCTCCACTTTACTAGTTCCTACTTTCATCTTGATAAAATTATAAGACTAACTGGCAAACCTTATTTTTGTTAAGCAATGACAGGGAAACAAAAATCTTAATTACATGTGCAATTAACATATACCATAAGTGATTTTTTTTAAGGTTATATTATACAACCCTGTATGGATGATGGTTAGCTTATAATAACCGCAGATGCTAGACAGTGGTTATATTGCAAAAAATGTTGATTTTATCGCCATATAATCTGTCAGAAATTTTTAATGACAAAATTATTATGTAGCACAGTGTATTTATTTGAGGAAAATTTACTGCAGCCATGGATATAGATTATAGACACTTCATGATTAGTGATCGAAAAATCATAGTTACAAACATGCAGTATTTTAAAACTTGCAACAATATGGCCAAATAAAAGTTTTCTTTTAAACTGAAATAAGCCTAGAATATTTGATGTTTTATTTTTGTTTATCAGAGTTATTAATTATTTGAAACTTTTCACTTTCAGCGTCAGTTGAACCTCCATGGGAACGATCAGTTGCTGGTAACAAAGTGCCTTATTATGTCAAGTAAGTGTACTCATATCTTGTTTATTATGTCAAGTAAGTGTACTCACATTCTTGTATATTATGTCAAGTAAGTGTACTCACATCTTGTATATTATGTCAAGTAAGTGTACTCACATCTTGTATATTATGTCAAGTAAGTGTACTCACATCTTGTATATTATGTCAAGTAAGTGTACTCACATCTTGTATATCTTGTATTGTAAATGGTAATATAAAAACTTATTTCAAATAATTTCTTTACATTTTGTTAATATGTGTACAAATGGAATTTTTTGAGTTCTTATAGCAAGAACGATTTACATAAGCTACAAATATTAATGATATAGAAAATATTGAGTTTCATGAGGCACATAGATGACCGCATCCGTCCATGTTAACCTGGTTGGTTAGTGTTAGGTATATAAAAAAAATTTAAATTTAAGTATGTATTGTTCTGTAAATATATAGTTGAAGGCAGTATTTTAAATGTCATTTCACTCAACTGTTGTTGATTCATGTGGAGAAGTTGTCAGTTACTTGTGTGTGTGTGTGTGTGTGTGTGTGTGTGTGTGTGTGTGTGTGTAAGTAAGTAAGTAAGTATAAGTAAAGAAGTAAGTAAGTAAGTATTAGCAAAGTAAGTTAAAGTATGTAAGTATAAGTAAAGTTAAGAAGTAAGTAAGTACATTTGTATAAGTAAAGTAAAGAAGTAAGTAGGTATAAGTAGAGTAAGTAAGTAAGTAAGTATAAGTAAAGTAAAGAAGTAAGTAAGAAAGGTTAAGAAAAGAAGTAAGTATAAGTAAAGTAAATAAGTAAGTAAGTATAAGTAAAGTAAAGAAGTAAGTTAGTGAGTATAAGTAAATAAGTAAGTAAGTAACTGTTAGACAACTGACAACAAGCTTTTTCAAATAACAGGGGTGCTGTTAAACAAAATGAAAATAAAAGAAGAAACCATAAATAGGACAGCAGTTTTAAAAATATTATAATTATTTTGTCATGTTTTATTTCAGTCATACAACACAAACCACTCATTGGGACCATCCAGAGATGACTCAACTTATGGAAGCTCTTAGTAAGTTATATAAATAATATGTTAGTCTATTCTTGTATATTATATTGTGAAGTTAAAAGTGATGTCATTCTATTAAAATATGTCATTAATTGATTGTCAGTGTCATTTGTTGTTGGTAATATCAAACAGTGATATCATAGTAAAAATTACATTACCGGTACTCTAAATTACTAATTACCAGTTTGCTATGATGCTTGTAATGCTATAAAGCATAAGGGTTGGAGAAAATGATACATTTCTGCAAAGACTAGAAAAATGTGATACTTGCCTTGACATACACTTTGGTGAAGCTTTTAGACCCACATGTTATTTATTTGAGACACATTTCTTCAATAAGAGATTTATATCTCTGATAAATCATCAAGAAACAGGAATGTATTGAGTGTCGGGTTAATTTTGTGGAGACAGTTATTTAACGTGATTATAGTGTCTTTCTTTATGTCATTTTATGATACATGTATGTATAATTATTCTTTTGTTAAAAGAAGTATTTAACTATAGCATAGTATATAAAGTATATAATAAATGTATATTATATTATTACAGATGATCTAAACAATGCAAGGTTTGCAGCATATAGAACAGCCATGAAACTACGTCTAGTACAGAAAAAACTCTGCTGTAAGTTCCGTCTAAAACACTTCAGTTTCTTAAATACTAGTCATCTCAGTTTGTTAACAAAATGCTGTTTTGTATCATTCAGATTCTTTAAATTCTCAAATTCTCTCTGAAATATGCCAGATCTAATGCGGGTCTTATTGATATATTTACAGTGGTTCTTGTTATATATCTAATGTGGGTCTTATTGATATATTTACAGTGGTTCTTATTATATATCTTATGTGGGTCTTATTGTGTATTTACAGTGGATCTTGTTATATCTAATGTGGGTCTTATTTTATATTAACAGTGGGTCTGTTATATATCTTATGTGGGTCTTATTGATATATTTACAGTGAATCTTGTTTTATATTTACAGTGGATCTTGTTTTTTATTTACAGTGGATCTTGTTTTTTATTTACTGTGGATCTTGATGTATTTACAGCGGGTCTGTTATATCTTATGCGGATCTTGATATATATCTAATGTGGGTCTTGATATATTTACAGTGGATCTTGTTGATATGGAAGCAGCAACAGACTGGTTTGAGAAGCAAGGATTACGTGGTCACAATGACAACCTCATGGACGTTATCGAGATTATAAACTGTGTGGCGGCCATGTATGAAGCATCCGCTAAAAATAACAACAATATTATCAATGTTCCACTTTGTGTAGACTTGGTGCTAAACTGGATGTTAAATGTTTATGATGTGTAAGTTTATTACAGAAATAATGTTGAAGAACATATAGGAATTTCTTTTCCCGATTGTGTGTTGCCTCATTGAGGAGTGATTACACTTAAGCTGCACATTTTCAATATTTTGATATAAATTTTAAAGAATAGTTTACTTTGGCTAGATATAAATTGATACCTTTGTGGGCAGTACAATTCAGTGGCTGCCTTTTGATATCTGTTGATATCCATAAGAAAAATAATAGGTGGATAATAATAGACATGTAAAGGCCCTGCCACACAAGACTGTGTTTGCACGGGGTTGTTAAATGTAACAAAATTTTGTGAGATTGCAAGAAAAATCTGCAATTTTTGATGACATGGAGACTTCATGGCAATCATGGTGTTGTTACGGAGCTTCCTTGGCATCATAATGCGTTCTTTTGCTTTCACAATGCTAAGACTGAAATCATAAAGCTCTGTGATAGCACAGAAGAGACTCTGCACAATCTCCACGGCATTCATTTGGTGATCCTTCTGCGCTTTCACGCCTTCCTGTTGAGTTGTAGGAGATGCTTCCGAGTTGCTTTGGGTTCCTCACTGCGATCCCGTTGCACACTTATCAGAACGCCGAGTGACAGCATTTGTTTTGAGCATGCTCAAAGTGCTCCGTCATTAAACGTACTTAAGTTTCTTCTTTATGATGCCATCCATAACAATTTTTCTTTTCACTTTCAGAACGAGAAGTGGTAAAATTCGTGTTTTGTCGTTCAAGGTCGGTGTGATATTAATGTGTAATGGTCACGTAGATGACAAATATAAATGTAAGTTCTATAGCTTATTAAACCTTATGTATATGTTAGTGTTCAGCCTAGCTGTTCTACAGAAAATAGAAACTTCGACAGAAACTATAGCGACTGAATGTTTCTAATTTCTGTAGAACAGCTAGGCTGAATACTAACATACTTAGTGTCAAACTTTATTTGGCTTCATTAATATTTTCTGTATTACGTGACAACTATTTGTACGAAGTCAGTTCTATGAAGTACTATTAAACATAGAAGGCAACTATTAACAGAATATCATACAGAACGGACTTTTGTTCTTCTATGAAAATTAACAAAAAAACAGCGATTTTATTGGATGACAAATAAAGCTGGACACTAAAAAATGTTAGAAATTACTTTATAAAATCTGACAACATGTACTGGTTGTACAGTTTCATTTATGTGCCTTTAGCTTTTAAAAGTTTACATCAAATCTGATTGTTTTACTGCTGGAAGTTATATTTCATTATTTCCTTTATGGCTTCAGTTTTATTTCCTGAGAGAGAAAGCTGTGCTTCACCTTTCAATAAGCAGAGTTCAAAGCTTTTATGTTTTACATACAATTTTAGCATGAAACATAGAAAATATGAAATTATTTTAAAAGTGTTTTATAACATAAAGAAGTAATTTGAAATCGACATGAATCTGGTTGCCCTGGGGATTTATCATTTTGGTTGTAAGTGCCTTAGTCTAAAAGAAATAGTATAAATTAAAGCTTCATGTTTTTTCCTGAAAGAAATATCCAGGGATTTCTGCAGGGTGGGAAATACTTTAGGTTGACAGTACAAATGTGAATGTATGTGGGGACATTTCTAGTGTTTGTGATATATGGAAGTTATTGTCTGATACAAGATATAAAACCATGGGGGAGAAATTTGTCTATATTACACATGTAGTCATGCTGTCTGACCTTGTGTCTGGCCTTATTTCAATGAAATAAATATTTATACTACTCTGTGGAGACAGCCACTAAAAGGAAACGCTCACAAAAATTGAATTTTATATGTAGCTTTATAAGTACTATAACATTTTTGCACTGTATTTAGTGAATTATGAATATAATAAAACTAGGAATTTATATCCAGAGGGAAAGCTACTAAAGGTTTTATATTCTTGTTCTGCTTCATATGAGCAAATGTAATATAACAATGTCCTATTTTATATTTCAAAATAAGATATGGTTGCAGTGTTTTCATAAGTAACAGATTTGAAATCCATATCATTGGTTAAAATACGGTTAAAGTCAGTTTGATTTTAGCCTGTAGTTTAAAATGCCCTTTTGCCAAATTGGTTGGTTGTACTCATTGGCACATCTGTTGCCTTACATAAAAATGAAAACCATGTATGGTTGTGTACTGTGTTGGTATAAACTTGTGAACAAGGGTAACTCTATCATTGGTCATCATCCAGAATATATAGTCATTTTAACTTTTAGACCAGTTTTTGAAAAACTTAATTTGATCATAGTCTGTTATTATAATTAGGGTAGAAAATCAATTAATGGTTATTAATATTGAAGTTGTCTAGTTATTATATGGGTTATAGAGATTTCATTATAGAATTATGAATATTTTATGTTTTAGTTTTGTTCCGGTTGATAGCAGATAAGAATGGTTTAACAGATCAGCGTAAACTTGGCTTGTTACTCCATGATTGTATGCAAGTACCCCGGCAGCTTGGTGAGGTTGCGGCATTTGGTGGCAGTAATGTGGAACCAAGTGTTAGAAGTTGTTTTGAAAAGGTATTGTCACAATCCTTCAAATTGTTTCATGTTGGTATTGAAACTAGAAAAAAGAGAAGATTTACATAAATTATTGTAGTTATGTGATGTTAGCCGCTGTTTTGAAAAGGTATTCTTCAAATTGCTTCAACAACAGGAAGATTCCATGAATACTAAGTGTTGTAATGATTTTTTATCATGATTGCGATCTGGTTTTATCATTAACCTTGTTTCAATCTCACTACTTTTACAAAGTGGATTGAATGAAAAACTTAAACTGAAATTTAATATCAATATCTTTAAAGATATCTGTTATACTTTACTATTAACCATATTTGAAAAATTTAAGGTTTATATAAAAGCAAAGAGGGGTCAATTGCTGAATTCTTTGATCTTTCAAAAATATGAAGAATTATGACCATCAAATTCTTAACAGTTTCAAGCTCAAACTGTTATAAGTTATAGTGTTTTTAATTATACAAGGGTTGATTTAATCTTTAGATATATACTGTATTGTTTTGTTTTTTATGAAAATGAGAATTATTATAAAGTTTAGATGATATTTTCAGGTAAAAGGTAAACCAGAGATAGAGGTTAAAACGTTCCTAGAATGGTTACGAATGGAACCGCAATCGCTCGTCTGGGTACCAGTCATGCATCGTTTGGCGGCAGCGGAAAATGCCAAACATCAAGCAAAGTGCAATATTTGTAAAACGTTTCCAATTGTAGGGTTAAGGTATTTATATGATTTATGTATTTGTTTGTTTTACTTTCTTTGAATTATTTAAAAAATAAGATTTTAGGTCTTTAAATGCAATAAGATTCTCAGAAGAGATGTTACATGATAGTGTCATATAGTGTCATGCGTTATTTGTTTATCATTACTTAAAAATCAATAAAAATGACTTGATTTTTTTAAGGAAAAAAGTTGATTATGTTTACTTAGAAATATAAAATCTTCTTAAAGAATTGGCATATGGTACTGCATGTTTTTGAATTTTATTTAATTTATTGTTCTATATAAACCTTTTTGAGTTGAAGCAGTTATAATGACTTGAGTGTATATCAGCAACCATCTTTGCAGTCTGGTCAGGTCACATAAATATTTTATATCTGGAATATTTCTTATTAACAATTGACAGATGTAAATTAAAATAAGGACATTTCCATGTTAAAATTTTACATGTGAAATTTGAACTTCTTTACTGATTGTAGGGTTGGTATTTAAATTTCAGATATCGATGTTTACGATGTTTTAGCTTCGACATGTGCCAGAATTGTTTCTTCTCAGGACGGCGGGCAAAACACCATAAATTAACTCATCCTATACAAGAATACTGTTCAACTGTAAGTTTTCTATCGTAATATTTGTCTTAACCCTTTCTCTTCTGTACACGAAAGTGATGAGCCTATGCCACTAATATAGAGCCAGGCCAGCCTGCACACCATGTTGTCTGAACAGGCTTGATACTGTTGGCTGATCAACTTCTTATCTTCATCTTGATATCCCCATAATTGATTATGGAAAATTGTCCAAAATAGAAGCCGGACAAGTCCTTTTTAGAAATTAACAGGTTAAGCGTTAATGGAGAAATTACAATGGTAAATCATTGTGTTGGCAATCACTGGTTTGATCCATAAGAAAGTTTAAATTAAATTTTAATTAATAGAAAGAAGGTATAAAGCTGCCTTTTAGACAGTTTGTGGTGTCTGTATATGATGTAAAGAGTGCACATCTACAGGTTGCATTTAAAAAAAAATCTGAGCTAAAGAAATCTTGACATCGACTAAGTTGTTCTAGGTTTTAGTCGGATAAATTTTAGATTTATTGGTTAGTTTTTTTCAGGGTACATTTCTTGTACTATAAATTATTGCCATAAACACTCTACATCTGTCAAATGCTTTTAGCTTTAGATAGTTGAAGCTGTTTGTGTGAATTGTAATTATAATAATTATAATGATTATAATTATAATTTAAAAAAAAAATTATTGTATTGTTATGATAATTATACTGTTTACTTTTCTTTACAGACCTCTTCTGGGGAAGATATTCGAGATTTCACCAAAGTTGTCAAAAATAAGTTCAAAACCAAACGGCATTTTCGAAAACATCCTCGTCTGGGTTATCTCCCTGTACAAACAGTGCTTGAGGGAGATGCATTAGAAAGGTGAGTTACTTCCCCTGATTTGTTTTTCTCCTTGTTCTTTGTTACCTGCAAATATAGGAAACAAAAAGTGTGTAGATGAGTGGTAAGGTATAAGCAGAATACAGGGTTAAAGACCTGAAATTATTTGTGCAATATAAAAATAAACATAATACAGTCGAGACTGCCTTAGCGACCCCCTGATTTAAACGACTCCCTGTCTTATCCGACCTTGTTTCAGTACTCCCAACGTATTTTCCTATATAAATGGTCTGAATTAAACGACTCCCTGTCATATGTGACAAGCGACCCTAATTGTCAGGTCCCAATGCAATGTTTGGTCTGATTTAAACGACTTTCACACCTTTTAATTGTCCGTTAAATCAGATAAATAATATCTATTATAACACCCAGAGGGCCAAAATAATTAAGTCCAATTATAATCCAGTGGCAAACAAAGTCTACACACATCTATCTCAATTACACAGTTGACATGTATAAATGCAGGTATCGAGTGACGTAGCGTCTGTTTATGGGAAGCATGACGCAATCGATGTGTGTGTAATGTACATTATGGCCTGAGTAAATTGGTTAAGACTTGTGTTAGATTTTTTTTTAATTATAGAGTGCCCACGCACTGCATAATTAATACGGAAAAAATATTGATACTAAACCAGAAAAAGCTTTGGATATGGATATGTTGAAATATCCTGTAACACAATTTTTCATGGTTTTATTTCATAAATATGATGCCCAAATTAAGATTTGTCAATATTGTAAGTTCAAATAAGCATTATTTATAAAGATATCACCCAATTTAACATTTAATATAAATAAAGGCCATTAAAGGGAGGTAATTAGAACTTTATTTTCTATAAATTCTAAGTTAAATTTTCCAATAAGTAATCAATGCATGTAATTTATTGATTAAATATAATGTGCACAAATATTTTCAGTACACATTTTACATATTCTTTGATGTTTGAAAGTTGTTTTATTTGCATAATTATATCCATATATATATTTTTTTGCAAGTGTGGTATACACTCAATCACAATATCAATCACAAGACATAAAGGATCTCAATGGTATATAGACAGCTAGATGATACTTAAATTTAATTTTCTTTGAGACTGTATTTAGAGACTCCCTGTCATATGTGACCTTTTTCTGAAGATCCCTTGGAAAGTCACATATGACAGTCTCGACTGTATACTCAAGGTCAAAGTTATAATTTCTATGACAGAGTACCAACACCACTCCCCACCCACACCTTCCAGCTTGAGATAATGTAAATATTTGAAATTCTAAGTGTCCCCTAAAACAAAAGCAAGCTAATGTGTATTTAAAGTTGTGAGGTATCATCAAAGGACAGTGAAGTTTGTACATTTGCAGTTCTTCAAATGTTACAAGTCAGTCAGTTTGCTAACCCCTCCACCTACCCTCCAATATTCCCTATTGTGTAATCAAAACACAATGTTATAACAATAATAATAAGAATGAACATAATTATAGATGTACAAAATTGGTAGGTTTAAATTGTTATAATTTACATGTACTGAAATTGGTATTAGTTGTCAAAACTATAAAATAATTAAATGCAAAATTACACATTTGTGCAAGATAAAATAGCGTGGGGCTTTTCCTCAGCTGAGCACAACTCTATTTTGTTGGGATGGCGTCCTGTCCTACATATAATACTGAGTGATAAGACTTTAATTTAAACCTACAACTTGACTATTTAAGCCACTAGATGGCGCTGGGGCAGATTTTCATGGAATTTTTGACATGCTTCACATCTAACAGCCCTTTTTTGAAATAGTAAAATAACCAAGAAGTATTTTGCCTAAAAACTTTTTGTATAACTTCTTTGCAACATTTGAAATAAAATGGCAGAGAAAATATCACAAAAGATTCACTTAAATGTACTTTGTGAAAAAAAAAATCAGTTAACTGTCAAAAATTTGAAAATCCCGGGGCGGAGTAAATGGGGTCATGAAATGTAGGTTGTAAACAAATACACGTGGCAGTGTTAACTTTCCAGTAGAAACTTGAAATATTACTCTAGGAAGGGAGCTGCTGATCAGTAATTGGCTGCTATAGTGTTTGTTTACATCAGCTAAATTTAGCAAAGGTACAGCGTCCTTTGCATGATTTATCTGATAAACACGCCTACAAAATTCTCCCTTCCAGGGCAGGGATTTTTGCGGCTTTAAAGGATATCATAACATGCATAAATGTAAATAACGTTAGCATCAGAAAAATTGAAGTAAATCCTTTTCTTGCTTTGAATAGTTGTATACTAAGTTACACCAGTGATTTATCAGAGAAATATATTTATGGATGATTTTTTTGTAATACATTTATCATAATACAGTGAAAAATGCATTCATCCTTCAAGTTCTGGCAGCCATACTGACTGGATTAGCACCCGTGTACATCTAAGCTACCTGGTACATTAATGACGTCTGACCAGTCTTTATAACACTGCTGTAAATAATATTGAAGTCCATACAGTTAGAGATGGAGAGTTCAAAATTTAAAGCAAAACAATATCATTATACAAACTCAGAAATAAGGCAGACCAAAAAATAATGTTGGTTTATCATATAAAAATGATTAGCATGAAGAATTTTTGTCATTATATCTATCTCTTACCAAGGACAAAGTTTTACAAATTAAACAAAATGGTATTCATTTCCAATTGCTTTGTGACATAATTTACATATCCTTTGTTCTCTAAGAATATCTACTTTTTTTTCAATCTCTACATCATGGGAGGACAGCCAAAGTTTTGCAAGAGTATAATTATTGTCAGTACTGATAAGTACTATTTATGTTCAATATTACATTTAAACTGTCTATACAGAAAGTCATTTAAAGCTAGCAGACACTACACAAGCTTTTAGCAGATAAAAAAAGAACTTGAGAACTTTTGTGCTACTCTTAGGAAGTGTTTTTATCTTTATCTAGATGTTTCGGTTCAGATTGATATTAGTGATAAAGAACATTCAATATATCTGAAGGAATCAATTGATCTATGGCCTTCTTCTAAAACTGTAAAAAGTAGAAAAATCTATCCCAGACAATGCTGTTTTAGTTTGAGTTACTCAAGTGTAACATTCTCACTGAGGGTAACATATTTAGAACAAATATATACTTTTGTAGTTTAGGTGTAAAAGGTCAGAAAGCTGCCATTTATATAGCGTTATATTTGATTTTGTTCACTGTCATGCTTGCGTACATTCTTGTATTATTTAATGACTCAAAGTCTGACTAAGACTGTCTGGAGAAAGAAGACATATTGGTTTTTGCTGTTTTTATCGCTATATAAAGCTTTTTGACTCATCAACGTGTTTTTACTCATCAATTATTCCTTACTCTATGTTGTTATAATTTTTTTTATGGATTTGTACAACAGTTTCTCATTTATTACAGCCTAATGTTTTCTGGAAGTCTGACAATGAGCTTTGATAGTTATTTCTTCATGTTTCTTTTTGTTTTTACCCCCAATGAAAATTGAATTTATTAAAGTGACGCAGTTATTGTTTGAAAACTGTTAGGTTCGTTTGTTGTTTTTTCCATCTATAGTTTTCAGTTTAAGTGTGTGGTATTCAAAGTTGTAAGAACTGACCAATGGCAGAGCTTGCATGTCCTGACTTATTTTTCTTCTATCCAAGACTTCTTTGACCAATTGAATAAGGTTACAGACTTCAAACCTCTTGCCCCCTCTTAACGTGAGTTACTTCCATGAAATAATAATAATAATAATTAAGGCTTCATTTAATGAAGCTACATATTTGCCAAAATGATCTTCCATATGTACATCAATAGGTCAGCTTCAGTAGCAATTATTTAACATAAGAATCAAACCTGATAGAAAGTCTGTGATTCTATCCAGCTGTATGCTAGTTTTTAAAATAATGTAAGGAGTGTTGAAAACATGAAGGTTACCATGCAACTATAGCTAAAGTAACTTAAAA